TTGGAGAAAGCCGAGGCCGAACGGGCTGCGAAGAAGGCTGAGGAGGATGCTCGCAAGGCTGCAGAGGCCGAGAAGGCCAACACAGACCAGGAGATGAAGGATGCCGACGCTCCGCAACAGGAGACCGAGGGCTCTGCCGACCCCCAGTAAATTATGAATAAAAGGGGAAAATCTCGACACTGCAGATGCATGCTCGGTCGGCTCTGCGTGCGTGATGCTTGCATGATATGAGATGAATGACGCCTAAAAAGATTATGGATGTTGAAAAAAGAAAGGGCACCAGAATTAGGAGAAGGAGAAATAGAACATGCGATATGGTTGCAAACGGCTTTGTTTGTTTTATTGGAAGAAGGGGCCCGGATCATCATGACGGATATGTTACCCGAACGTTAGACCACTTTTTTACACTTTTAAGTTAGTAGTTAGGATCCATACACTCGAGTTTGGTTCAACTTCTTCTGCCACTGTTCAACTGAGTTATCGTGATGAGTTGGTAGCTTTTAGAAGTGATAGCCTGCCACGAAGATAATTCCTTGCCAGGAGCTTATTGGAGTGTCTAGCAAGCATCATTCATCCAATTCACATTCGTTGCATAGCATCAGCAAACATAATATTAAATCATTTCAGCTCTCATTGGTGAAAAGCCCTACTCTATACAACAACTTCGCCTCGAGGGTGCCCGTTGCCCTTCAATTTCACGTCTCTTCAATCTTTTTTGCTGCCCCGAAAATACAAATCAGTACCCTACACAATTCCTTCAAACAAGTTGAATGCAGTTTCTTTTCCTATCCTCTTCTTTTTGATATGCAGTGTAGTTCTCGTACTGTTCTCCCAACAAAGGGAGCTGGCTACAACCTGATGTCCTGTCAGCGTGTTATCGAAACATCAAGTTTCGCTTCCAGAACAGGGTATAACTAAGCTCCCGGCGCGGTTATTGAGGTAGAAGCTTCACACCACCCATGTTCTTAACGTTTTGTAATATTGGCTGCTTATGAGATATCGAACAAGGGCTTGAGCTTGATGATGAGCTGCCACTCCTCGTTGCTGACCTCCTTTCTGTAGAATTCCTTGAGTGTGTCGATACTGGCTCGAGAGATCAAACTGTACAGAGTCTCCTCTTCTTCAAGATGTCGACCGTACATGGGTTGGTTGCCACCCATCTCGATCTTGATAGCGACGGAGGGCTCCTTTCGCTTACACACGGGGATTTGTTTGTGCTCTCGCTCAATGGATGTACTGTAAACTGTTAATAGGGGGGTCTCGAAGGAGGAGAGAATCTAAAAACTTACACTCTGCCCAGCTTGATGATCTCCTTGGCACCGGTTGTAGGGTTATTCCTGACAGCGGCGACAGGACAGTTGATTCGGAGCTGACCCTCAGTGACATCAACACCAATAACGATGGGGTCGTTCTTGTTGAAGACCTTGACGGGTTTGAGGACACAAGGGAAGACAGCAAGCATCTTGGACTCTTCCTTCTTCTTCTCGAGTTGCTCGTCCATATGCTTGGTGAAGGCATCAAACAGATGATAAATGATATCAGCGGTGAAGATTTTGATGCCATTGTCCTCTGCGTACTGCTGTGCTTCTTTGTCGACCTTGACATCGAAACAGAGCATGATGGCATAATCTGGTGCCTTCTCCAACATAACACCACACTGTAGGACATCACGCTTGTATACGGGACCAATACCGACGTTGGCGACAGGAATCTTGCAGTCTTTGAGGAAATCGAGCAGAGCCTCGAGCGAACCAAGAGTCGAGGCTTGGACACTGACACCGCGACCAGTCTTCTCCACACGGTTGAAGAGAACAGCAAGATCGGACTCGACCTCATCCTCGATATCGTCTTCATCGTCATCGGGACCGACAACCATCAGGCGTGAACCAGCGATGGCACCCTCGAGACCAGGGGCGCTGATCTTGACACCTAGCGCAGCCTTGACCTCCTTGTTGTGGACATAGGCGGACTTGAGACGTAATTCCTTCATGGGCGCCGGTGTAAGGAGTGCTCTGATATTTGTCTTGATAGCGCCTTCTGTACCGCACAGCACAATGCGGTCACCTTCTCGCAAGATACCGTTAGACAGGACGACATCGATGGTCATGCCGAAACCTTCAATGGCCTTGACTTCAAGGACAGTGGCCTGGACCTCGGAGAGATACATGAGAGAACCAACCATACGCTCTTGAGTGAGCTGGACAATGAGCTTCAACATATCAGGGACACCCTCGCCAGTGTGTGCCGAAGTAGGCACAAGCGAGACGTACTTTGACATGGACTTATTTTCGTAGAAGAGCTCAGAGTTGAAACCCTGCTCAGCGAAGGCAATCTTGGTCTTTTCGAGACGGGTCTCAAATTCATTGCGGACGGCCTTGCTCTGGAGAGCCAAACTGTCCTGGAAACCGTTGTTGGCAACCTGCTTCCAGCCGTAGAGACGATCGATCTTGTTGAGGGCAACAATGAAAGGAGTCTTGCGCTCTCTTAGCATGCGCATGGACTCAAGGGTCTGGGGTTCGAGACCGTGCATGATATCGACGACCAAAATGGCAATGTTACAGAGCGAAGAACCACGAGATCGGAGGTTAGAGAAGGACTCGTGACCAGGGGTATCGATGATGAGAAGACCAGGGACCTTGAACTCGAACTTGCCGTCAGGGTTGACAACAGCCGTCTTTTGTCGGATGGCTTCGACGGGGAAGTATGTGGCACCAATCTGTTGTGTAATACCACCAGCTTCACCCTCTTGGACGTTAGTTTGACGAACCTTGTCCAGGAGCTTAGTCTTTCCGGTATCGACGTGACCCAGAATACAGCAAATAGGGGATCGCAGGTTATCCTTGGATCGGGCAGCAAGGGCGGCCTGGTGAGCCTTTTCGCGGCGCTCAGCAGCCTCTCGCTTTCGCTTCTCCTCGGCCAACTGAGCAGCTGTGGCGGCCTCGTCATCGGAAGACTCCTCCTCAGATTCATCTCCAGACTCATCTCTAGCCTTCGCTTCCGATGTACCATTGGCCTTTTCGGCCTCCTCGTCAGAGTCAGCATCCCAGCTGTCCTTGACATCGCCGTCAGAAGCAGCAGCAGCCTCCCAGTCATCCTCCACGTCGCTCTCGGCGCCCTTCTTTTCGGCGGCGGCCTTAGCCTCGGCCTCGGCCTTCTCACGGGCAGCCTTCTCCTCGGCTTCCTTCAGAGCCTTCTCAGCTTCTTGCCGGGCTCGCTCAGCAGCTTCGGCGAGGGCCTTCTCCTCATCGATCTGTTCGGAGTTAGCAAATCCTGGTCTTTTGATGGTCTTGATAACAAAGCATACCTTTTGCTGGGCACGACCCTTCTTTCTCCTGTTGTCCGCAGGCTTGGACTTCTTCTCACTAGGTTCGGCTGCAGGGCCAACTTGGATACCAGCAGCCAACATCTGCTGGAGCTTTCGCTCATTTCGGGCCTTCTCTTCCTTCTGGGCCTTTGTGAGATACTTGCCCTCCTTCTTGAGCTGCTCGATACGCTCCCTCTCCTTCTGCTTCTTGATGGCCTTGGCCTCCTCACGTCGCTTTTCTTCCTCAGCAGCTAGGCGCTCCTCTTCTTCGGCCTGGGCCTTGGCATCGGCTTCAGCTTTGGCAGCTTCTTCTCGTTGGCGCTTGAGCTCCTCTTGCTGCTTCTGAAGCAGAGCAAGATGGGCGGGGAGCTTCTTCTTCTTGCCTCCAGCGGCGGGCTCGGGGACGGGAGCGGCCTCAACAGGGGCAGCCTCCTCCTTCACCTCAGGGGCAGCCTTTGGAGCAGCGCCACCCTTCTTCTTCGCAGCGGCCTATCATGAGGTCGAGTTGTTAGCAGGCTGTATTTAGATATAATAGAACCATGCTATGAAGCAATGCATGGTGTAGCATACCTGCTCCTTCTTTCGCTGCTTCTCACGCTCCTTCTTGAGCTTCTCCTTCTCGGCCTTGGTAAGGATACGGCCGCCATCGGCGGTATCGTCAGCGGCAGCAGCAGGCTCGGGCTTCTTAGCGGCTTGCTTGTTCTGCTTGCCACCCTTGCCCTTCTTCTCAGGTAGAGCGAACTCATCGTCGATGTTGGCCTCGACGGGGGCTTGGGCGGGGGGCTCTTCGGCAGCTGGGGCTTCGGGTTCGGGTTCAGGCTCGACGATGCCCTTCTTCTTGCGCTTCTCCTTGTTCTTGCGCAGAGTAGCCATCAGGCCACCGGCACCGCCAGCATCATCATCGTTGTCGTCGTTTGCGTTGGCGTCACCATCGGCACCGTTGGCATTGGCAGGCGGAGCAATACTCTCGCCCAGCTCGGCCTCCCAGTCGTCCTGCTGGTTCTTCTTGTTTCCCTTCTTCTTGGGCGGCATCTTGGCGGTTATCTCGTTGGGTGAAACTCGAGATGCAGTCGTCAAGTTGGCGGGGCTAAAAGTTCCTTATTTATGGAAATTTTTGGGGGAAGGCAAAAAAGTACCGAAGCCCAAAAAAGATAACGTTACAAAAATGTGCCAGACAAACAAGGCAACCTACTAATGTCCGAGTCTCGGTCACTCTCTCAAGCACACAAGCATACACACACATACACACACACACACAATCAAGCAGGCAAGCAAGGCAGAGGAACGAACGCACGCCTGTATGATCAGGTTGAAGGGTGCGAGTAGGTCTACCGATTTAGGCGGGGCAATGCTGCGGGCAACCACTGTAATTCATGGATGGATGTAACAGTCCAGGGCTTTTTCTTCAGTGGCGAATCTTTATGTTCTGAGATCATTTTCGTGACATGTCCAGTCTCTGAAAGCTTACGAGAAGGCTGTCACGTACTTGTTAGTCAAGAAATTTTGGTCTACTACTAATGTTTGCTCCTTTCAAAAACTTACAACGTTTGACAATTATTCAAGCCGCCTCAGCCTCTGATGCAGTGCGGGGCGATGACAAAAACCCCCAGGAATCATGATTATTTTGTGAATGTGCCATATTATGTAAGCCTTCACCAATGGGCAAACTTGATGAGATGAAGCTTCAAGCCTTGAGCGTAAGATGAGACGAGGTTGTAAGCAGCAGTCAAATTGAGTCATATTCTGACTCACGAATCTGACTATTATCGTTGAGAGTCGTTATTTTATCTATACCACATTAAATACCTTCTCATGTGACTCGCTATATTCCCTCCTTAGATTGCTAGAGTCAGAACATACTCGAGAATCTCATAGCCCAGCTCGATGTACTTCTCTTGCCCTTGGGAGCCAGTCTCCCGGAAACCTTCGGTATATATGCCATCGTCAATTCCATCTAAATACTCGCAAAACAGATCAATGCCATCTCCAATCAATACCAGCCTTTCCAGCGCACTCATATCGAGGCAACGTTTCAATAGATCACCATCAATATGCATCATCTCCCGGAAACGCTGAGGCTCCAGCTCTGGATCTAGGTCCATCTCCGGATCGCTGTCCCTCGACGATTGGCTGCTCCGGGCGAAGGGGCAAACCTGATTGTCCTGATATGCCAAGTTCTGTATCAATCTGAGAAAACGCCAAAGATCCAGACCTATCAGTGAGAATTGGTGTAGTGAACCATCAAGAGACACTCCCAGTATGTCTGCCTGGTCCGCTGTACTAAACAGCGTATTGTATCGTCTTTGGCGATCAACAGCTGACCAAAAAGGCCGAGTGTGCCCCTTGCGGAATCTTCTGATAGATGTGGGCAAAACCCCTGTCACGACAACTTCAAACTCCTTATGGCGCTGGCTCCATGGGATCCACACTCCTGCAAAACCTGCTTGTGCCGTTGATATAACACTCACTGGCCACTTGCCTGGTTCTTCTTCAGAGTCTCCCATCTCTATCACATGTCCCGTAAACCGAGTCACTCGATCGCTATGGATAATAGAAGGGTCAGTATTTTCTGATCCCACGTTCAGGTCGATGACCTGAAGAGAGTGTTGCGCAGTCAAGGCGCAGACTTTTGTCCCTTCCACACGCAGGGTTGTAGCTGGAGAATCCAGCCTGAACTGTTTCATAGGTTTGAGCTTCTTCTCTGCAAGGTCGAGGACTTCCCAGTGAAGAACCTTGCCAACACAAAATAGGAGACCCACAGCATCTCCAACGACTGTGTAAATAGGCTCGGCGAAGCCTTTCTTCTTATATCGGGTCCAGTACTGTAATTTTTTCGCTGGGCCATCGTCGCTCTCAGGCTTGAGTGCTGTCACAGACACAATCATCAGGCGACCATGTTGGGTGGTCACGATGATGAAAGGAAATAGTTTCCCATCTTTGACATAGGTCCACTCATACAGACCAAATATCCTGTCTCCTGGATGTCCTAGGCCGGAAATATAATCAGACGGCTGCTTGTCCTTGTTAGCTGCCGTTGCGACATTCGCTCCGCTTTCGGGATCGATAAAGGAGAGTGTTGGGCGATCATCTTTCAAGTGTGCGACCACCAAGACCTTCCAAGTTTGAGAATAGATGACGCGCATCGGTGTTCCGCCTAGAGGAATGCTGCGAGGAACAGGGCCAACATGCGGCCAAATATCAACGAGGAGAACTCGTGTCCCAGATAGTAGCATAAGAGACATGTGACGTTGGTACCCAGAAAGGCTACCTTCGAGGCAAAAGGCTGCATGAACGGGGGGTGATGACATAGACGGGTCGTTCGAGTCGGTTGCCCAGATTCGGGTCTTGGTCTTGAAGCTGCTGCTCTTTGGTGAAAAGTCCGTCATAATTGACAGGCTGTTGTCACAGCATGTGAAAAAGGCGTGCTTTCCATCAAACAGGCTAGATGCTGGAAACACATTCGTTGGTGAAATGCCAATTTGTTCAATTGAAAGCGAGTAATGAGCAATCTCTTCTCCTGATATCAGAATCGTCACAAGATGGCCGCTCCTCGTGCCAAGCACCAAGATGACCTTCTCAGCGGTATCATAAATGGCTTGCACACTTGTATATGCTTCCATATGAAAGTGACCTTCCTGGCCAGGAGTAGCTGGGAGCAATTCAGCGCACTCGTTCTTTATCAATGGCGAACATCAGACTTACCGAGCTGTGGCTGAGTGATCTTGCTGCTGACCTCGAGGCCATCCAACGAGTATATAGTCAAGCGTGGCAACCCTTCCGTTACGGAACCAGCAACGATGTAAGTCTGTGCTGACGTCTTGAAGAGACCAATGCATGTTATTTCCCCTTTGACATCAATTGAGGTTGAGTGCGTCAGATCCATCTGGTCTACCAGCAAAACATCAATCTGGGAAGCGTTTGCGCCATGTGAAGATAACACCACGATATCGTCTATGCAGCAGGCATGCTCGGCTAGCAACGAAGACTTCCCACAGACTTCACCATGATTGTGTCGTGAGCTAGACTCCATGTTAGCGACTGTCGCAAAGACAAAGAGAAGGAATCCAAAATTAGCAGGACTCGCCTTTGTGCGGGTGCAACAAGACACGTGGAGATCTCGCTGACTTGTATTATTACGGCCTGTTCTGTCTGAATTGCCGAGATTGTTCGTGATGATGTATCAAATGGACAAGCCTCTGGTGATAAAGCATTCGCATTGCTGAGATCAGCGGGGAAATGAAGGACGTCAGTAGAATGTGGCAGTGACAAAATGACATAGAAGCCTTGTTCGCCTCGAGCCTCAACTGGGAACATCCAGGACTGACGGACATGCTGGTCATGGTCGAATTCAATACCAATCCGTGCCTGAATGCCCCATCTCAATTCTGTCAAACTCGACCGAGGCCCGCGGCCGGATGTGCAGAAGATGCGATCGGACTTCGGTCTTAAGTTCGATGACACCTTGCGTTTCGTCGAAAGATCTTTACTCTTGCTCTCATTCATCCAGGAAGGATTGATATCTGTCGTAACCAAATCGACCACAGGGGACCAATTGGGGATGACACTGACTTGTTGGGGATCTTTGCGGGGGATAAGCTGCGAAAATTAGATGTTAGCTGAGGCCGAGATACGATGAGACAATGCGAACCACCTTCCAAATTCCACCTGGACCAGAGTCGCCGCCAGTTATCAAAACATCCGAGAAGACATCATAAGCTGTAGTGAAAGCGGTTGTGATGTTGGTGCTGATTGTTCCGAGAGTCATCACTGTTGGAACTAGATCTCGCGAATCGATCTCGATATGTGCAATAACACCATCTTCACGAGCCAGATAGATGACATCCATCTTCTCCAAGTATATGTTAATCCTAAAAGGTCTCGCCCAGGTGGTCCAGAGCGGTTCGGCAGCTCCATGATGCAACTTGGTCTGTTGAGGGGAGTGTGTTTCCAAGGTATCGAACGAGGTCTGCCCTGTGAATGCGTTCTTTACTATGCCAATCGAGTGTTCTGAAACTGCCAGGAAGGCAGTATTGACTTTGAGGGGAATGATCATAAGGGGCATTCGGTGCTCTTTTGGTAGCGGTGTCCCTTTCTCTGATCGAAATACGGTGTTAAGTTCGTCACCAAGCTCCCAGTCGTAGACGACCATGCGAGACACGTGAGCCTGCTTACTCGCTTCACGTCGAACAATGATCAATAGGAGAATGATATGGTAATCGTCTTCCGGTCGTGGATATAAGAACTCCATTTTGTGTATGACGCCCTGCGTTACCCGAACTCGAGTAGACTTGACAGGCGTGATAGATCCGCAGCTCTTAAATTGAGAGCTCATGTTGAACAGCGACTCCAGCTCGTAGATGATGAATCCACCTTCAGCGGATCCAGCAGACATATATCGCGACGAGGGGTCAATGGAAAGGTGATAACCCAAGAATTGTAAATTCCTGGGGCTCTGAAACTTGGTAGTTACAAACTGCAGTGTCCCCTCTGGGCGTTCTTGAATGAAGAGAAAAACGGCATCGCCTGTCTCGAGCATCAGGACTAGTAGTTGCGGTGATAGTACACGATTTGCGTCGGCTTTGCTAGCCTGTGCAACATCTTGCATAGAAACATCAGCGTCTTCGGTCTTGATTGAAGCAGTGGCTGCGCCAGGGATGTCACCCTTAGGTGGACCTCCCAGGACTATCGCATTTCGGATTCGTGTGCCAAAGTCAGCTTTTCGTATAACCTCGTGCACTTGTCCATCTTCGCGGAGTTCGCTGATTTGGACGAAGCGATCCTGGGGTGATTAGCAACAACTCAGCATGTAGACAAGGGATTGATGAGCAATATCGAGCTTGAGCTTGGACATTTATCGACAAGTAGACCATTGAAAGGCATGACAAGTCCATGTCATCTCTAATCACAGTCTAAGTGGCCATGGCCAGGGGCAACGCCAGTACATGGGGTCTGGATATGAAGGTTGTTGAAGAATCAAGAGACTTACACCAATAAATGCGATATCGTTATGAGAGCGCGACCGTATGCAAACTGGGAGAATCCAATGAACGACAGGGCTCTCGATGATAGTCCTAGAGAGTATTCCACACTCAGGTGCCTTGAGACTTGGATCTGATGCGATTTTGGGCGCGGTGGAAGAGGCCTTCAAGGCATCTTGGAAGTTGACGGTCTGCGTCACCCACTCGCCATCTCTAAGAACGCTGCTCTGAAAAGCCATTCTGGCCACTTCATGGCATAAGAAACTGAATCGTGGATGGTGGATGGTGTCCCAAAGATGGGAGTGCCGGTTGGTTGGTTGGTTGGTTGGTTGGTTGTAGCAGGCTGTTAAGACGATGAAGCGACAGATGCACTGGTGAAGTTTCAATAACAGCCAATGTGTCGAGTCGAAGGACAATTGGGTAAGGCAGGTAGGTATGGTAGGCAGGTCAGATTATCGAGAAAGTGGTCATCGAACGAACTCAAGCGTCAAGTGCCTCGCTCCTGCATGTACTGACTGTACTGTACAGCGTTGGTCTGTGTTCGTGTGGTCCAGTGGAGAAATATTCGCGCCAGTCCAACGCCAATGCGACGCCGCCTGATTAAAGCCTGATAGCAGTTTGTTGCTTTCGTCAATGACGATTTAGTTGCAGAGAAGACTGTCAACGAAGAGGGGAGGAGGGTCTTTGAACACTCTTGGACAAAGTCTCAACCTAGCAGCGGGCTAGCTACGGTATAGGGATTAGTATCTGATACCCGAAGCTTAGAACTCAGGTAAAAGAGAACTTAAGGAAACGTATGAGAGACACAGGAAGTCGCCCCGGGTCGAGTGAGCTGAGCTGCCCTGTGATGCAGTGTTTGTCGACAATGCGAATAATTTCAGCTAGGAAAAGATACCGGAGAAAACTAACTGTCAAGGGTGATAAAGAGACGATCAAAGCTTGTTTGCGAGGTAATAAAAAAAAATTGAGCTGTCAGGGTTTGTGTGTGTGTGTGTGTGTGTTTTTGGAGACACCGCGAAGATTAGAATGAGGTGTGAGTTGTTTGAAGGATGGATTGATTATTGATCAGAGCAGTGTGTTAGACAGAAGCCCTATTCGTATAGTGATTGGTGTTCATAGCCAAGGATTGATGGATCAGTCTCGGGGTTTAAATCAAGATGGAAGCCACCGTGGGCGTGGATTCGGTATACCATGAATCAAACTGGTCAGAGAGAGAGAGAGACTCGAGGCAAGGCGCGTGAGGCTCCACGGGACTCAAAGTTTAAGAAGCGATATGGAAGCCCGAGGTCCACTCCACTTCATTGCACCCTTTTTGCCGTGAGATCTCCAGCAGCGGATAGATTTTTAGCGCCAGTCGGGTCCCTGCACGACTCCGTCTGCGCAATGAGTGACACAAAAGAATCATGGTTCCCCAGCACTAAAAAGGCCCAGTTCTAACAATTACACTGTATTCTTGATGCTGGACACGCCATGAATCCTTGTTCATCTGCAAGTTGCCTTTAGTGATGATAACTCGACAACCCGATTTCACCCTAGGTACCTTACTTATACCAACCAGGCCAGCAACCTCAGCAACATCATGAGATTCCGCCCAAAATATCTCACTCAGAATTGCCCTGGAACACCAATTACCTCAGCAGTAGGTAAGGTAGCCCACAAGTAACCCCCATGAAAACTATCTTAGGTCGGTAAGGCAGGTAAGATGGATGAGGCGTGACTGAGGTGCCTGCCTAGTTTGGTCTGTATCGTAGTGTGCAACCAACAGGCAGGTGCTCGGAGCCTCCATTCACAGCAATTGAAAAGAATCTTCCATCTTAATGGGCTGCTAAACCCCCACTGAGGCTTGATAATCCTCCCCAAAACCAATTTCGACTCCGATCCAGCCAAAGAACAAACAACTTTTGTATACAGGTACAGAGATATTCAACCCTTGATCCCTGTACATAACGTACCATCTTCGTCAATGATGACGATCTAATACCCGGCCTCACAGGGAAGAGCCTTTGATCTTGAGAAGCTGGTGCAGAATCCACGAACAATCCTTTTGACTTGGCCGATCCCTGTTCTTTGTCAAAGGGCGCAGCACATTCTCGAGAAAGCATCCACGAAGCATGACCCCTGGAATTCTAGCGTGCAACGAGAATTACGACACGGTTGTCAGCCACGGCTCATCAGCTCGTTTCTGATGAGCACACAGCACTCCAAACCTCTGTAAAAGAGGCATCCGAGAACCGGGGGGGCGGTAACTCGAGCGGCTCTCGTTAGGCCAAACGGGTGTCAACCACACCTTATGTGGTTGGCTGTCAACTCAAACCGGCTTTTTTGTTGTGTTGCAGTTGAACTCTTGTAGAAGTTGCTCTCCGGATTACGTACTACGTATAGGAAATCACGGATAACTAATTTAGGGGATGCACTATCTCGACTATCTTTCTTGTCAGCTTCGTCATTTCCTACCGATCGACTAGTGAGGAAGCTAGCTGAGCTTCTTCAAGATGGACCACAGACAACCTGGTCTAGCACATGGGACTTCTCTTCATTCAACCAACGGCATATTCTCATTCTCATCCTTGCCGGCTCTTGACGTTCCGGAAACCAGTAAATCCTCCACAAGAACGATTGTGGGAATTCCAGCAGCCATAGACCGAGCCTGGACCAGCCAAGTGTCTTAGCTTTCGTCCCTTTTCTTTCCTTTCTTTTGTCACCACCATCCTCATGGGAGACACAGACCATGCCCTTCTGCCCTTTTTGTCACACCGACTTGGATTAGCCGCCTGAGTACCAAGTGGGCACGAATTCAGTCACCATGACGCTTGGCCAGTCAATCAAGTGGCTCTGTGCTTTTTTAATTCTGTTCGATCCGAAAGAAGGTCTCGGCATTCGTAGATATCTGGGACCCTCAAATCTAGTTCGAGAATGAACCTCATTCTTGGAGGACTTGTGCACTCTGACACCAACTGCAATTACGACCCCATTTCACAGATCTCATATCATGGGAGTCATCTGATTACTTCGTATGCAAAGACGATGCAGTCTATTGCATACATCAACTCCTCTGGAAGAAGATGGATGGGACAGAAAGCTTAGAGTTGGAACCCTAACAAGACAACACAAACAGTCGCTCAGAAATCAGTTAGCTACCTAGGCATGCCAGGCTAGTCACCTTCAGCTCACATAATCCTAACTCAAGCCGGGCTAGTGGAGCTGATCTGAGCAAGGATTTGTGATCCACTTCATTTTCTCCCCATAGCCCTAGATTCACCACTTCAATCGTCAACTCCACTCCAGGGCTAAGGAAAAGCCCCTAGCTGATAACTACTATAGCAGATGACTCGAGTTTGGGGATTGAATTGAGACCAACACAACTCGCGTGAGTCAATCTTTGTTTGTAGCCCCGAAAGAAGTTGTTTGTCTATGCTAGCCTAGCCCTGTCAAATGTGGTTCACAATTGCTTGTAGAACACGACATGTCAGTTACGCCAAGCCCTTGTCGGAGACTTTCTGATCCTTCTAACATTACTCCGTACTAGGGCCAACATCTGGCAGGCCAATGTTCCGTGCATATCCTCACTCTAAGATGGATTCTGTTGATGACGGCTCTGTATGGCAACCAAAGATGATTACCAAAATAATCACTAAATACAGCTCTAGAAACGGGATTTGCTGGTACGACCTTGATACAAAGGTTACGATGTCTAGTCAGGTGTGTGTTAGTTGGTAATCAGAACTTGTGATTCACTGTCTCAGACAGTTCATGGTCATAATTAATAGCCTTTTATATAAGCGCCAGCAAACAACAGATCTGCCATCGGGGAATTAATGCAGGAGCATGGCAATGGATACAAGATCAAGGGTTGAATAGCAAGGGTAGGTCTTTAGGTCAAGAGTGAAGGCTATAGACAGCTGCAGGTCTTAGACAACTATATCCCCCAACCTATCATAACAGTCGGTCTACTGAGCAGTCCGCCGTGCCATGTCTTGGCCTGATCGAGACTGAAGCTTGATGTCTGATTGTCCATGGTGACAGGATGTGAATTTGATGTTTGTCAAGGCACGTTGAAGCAGGTTGCGGCTCGTGGTGTATTTTATATGTCTTTGAAGCCTTAACAACGCTGTGTGATACAAGACAGATCGAAAGACAATTATTAGGACAAACGGCTATACTGCTAAACCAACAAACAAAAAGACTTCAGACAAGAACATGAAAGCAGTGTGTTAAAGGTAAAAAAAATATAAAAAAAAAATATATAGAGGTAGAGGTAGTTGGCTGCTAATCTATCAACGAATACCTTAAAGGTAGACGTGGGGGACTCTCATCAAGTCTAGGGTGGTTAGAGTGGGTACAAAGCCCCCTAACTCTGCATCGGTTCTGAATCAATCAGACCTCAGGTCAGCCAAACAGGGGTCAACTGTACTGTACAGCAAAGCAACTCTCATACCTTCCATTACCTTGCACTATACTGTAGGTAGTCTTCATCCACCAAGTGACGCGAATCACCACAACTCCCTTGCGACACAGACATCACCAGGAATAAGACAGCAGAAGAGTCACAGACTTGACCAATAGGCTTGACAGGAGCTAGCAAGGGAACAAGAACAAGTTGTTCTGTTTCTGCACTGGTTGGTTTCCTCAAGCTTGGCCATGGCAAGATTCTCCATCTGATATTATCTATCCCTTCCCATCGATAATTTTTATTGCACCCCCCATTTCAACTTGCTTCTTCTGTCTATCGAAACAGCCATGGATAGTCCGCAGGATAGCGATAATAAGTCGCCATTGTCTTTCAGTCGCACCAGCAGCAACACCAATGCCAACACCAACACAGATATCTCTCAGGAACCCGACATACTCTCTCATCCTAAAGCTGCAGATATCATCGATGCATGTAAATGGAGAGATATCAGCCGTCTCCGGTCACTAGCTGAAGCCCATGGTGGATTCCTGTCGGACACTCTGCGAAAACAAGCATGTTTGTTGTTACCGTGTCTACACCCCGTTCCATTGACTAACACCATCTCACAGGGCCCATCTTACTAGGTCTCGATGCTCCCTCTGACGATAAAGATGACCTTGATCTTGCATCGGCTCAAGACGATTACAGTGAATGGAAGCAATTGCCCCGCCATCGAGATGAGGATCAGGTTCAGCTTGACGTCAATCGCTCGTTCATCTACTACCCAAATAGTATTGCTCAACCCTTTTTTATCTCCAAGACATCGTGAGAGCTAATGCAGTACCAGACCAATCCGACGCAGAGCTGAGTCTCCGCAAGTCAGAGCTCTCATCCCTCATCACCGAGGTCCTACGTCGTTACCCTTATCTGTGTTACTTCCAGGGCTACCACGACATCTCCCAGGTTCTACTGCTGGTGCTGGCGCCGGCATGGAGAGCTCGTGTTCTCGCGCGCCTATCCGTCCTGAGGATACGGGACTTTATGTTGCCCAGTTTTGGGCCGACAACCGCCCAGCTCCGTCTTCTGCCGGACATCCTCCACGCTGCTGATCGCAAGCTCCGACGGCATCTTGCAGGTGTTGAACCCTTCTATGCCTTAGCGGGAACGCTGACCATGTATGCCCACAACATCGAGACCTATCAAGACATTGCCAGATTGTTCGACGTCTTCCTAGCCCGGGAGCCTGTCTTTACTGTCTACGTGTTTGCGCAGATCATTCTTGACCGTCGAAATGAGATCTTTGAGATAGACGAGCCCGATATGCTGCACGTCATTCTGGGCAAGGTGCCAACAAAAATGGATCTGGATGAGCTCATCATAAAATCAGCCGCCCTCTTTGAGCAGCATCCTCCTGAGACTCTTAGCTACTGGCGGCACATATCTAACTTCAGTGCTCTAAAGACAGCCCGGGATATTGAATCCTGCGCGAAACAAACCATGGAAGAGGGCTCGGAGCTTTTTGAGAAGCAGGTCAATGAACTTCACTGGCAAGAAGTGCGGGATCGCATCAAGTTGGCCCTCTGGCATTACCGCCGCCCGGTCAGGACTGTTGGGATGGCTCTTGTTGTGGGAGCCCTGGCTTTCTACCTTCGCCGCAATCCAATCCTCGTTCACCGCATTGCTTCATTCTTCTCTCGATAGGCACCGAATTTCCCGTCCGCTCGATGATTTCTCAGGTAGATTGCTCAAGGTAAGCATATTTGATATAAAAGTTGGCAGATGGAATGATTTACCCCACGTTAGAATGGCATAGATAACATTTTGTTTGTTCGAAGCTCTGTTTAGCAACAAGACCCATGGATGACCTTCACCGAGACGCCATGCAAAATAAATGTACATATAGTCACACTCAAATGGAAGACTTGAGCATGCACTGATTTCCCATGAATTAACCCTCCTGTTTCCCAACAATTTCGTATCCAGATGAGGCACTTTTCTAGGACGTCTCTTGGTACTGAGTCTTCAGTCCTTCGAAATGCTCCTGCTGCTCATCAGCTAGCTTGCCGTTCGCATCGCTGATAATGGTGAGGATAAGTGAGTAGTTGTTATACAAGAAGCGCCCGCTCTTTCGCTTGTCGCCGAAGAGCTCGGCATGGCGAGTAAGAAAGGTCTCAACTTCGGAGCGCAAGCGGCGCAGACTGGACACAACAGGTTCGTCGTCGCCGGCATCGGTGCTGAGGGCCAAGAGGCCGTGTAACAGCTGCCCGAAACGCTGGGTCACAACATGAGGTGCCGCAGACAGTTTAGCAGCTTCGGCGCGGCTCGGTTTAGCGGGCACAGCATTGCTGAGGTGGCGTACGGAGTCGCAGTGACGATCCATTATGACCTGAAGACGGGGCCATAGGAGCATGGTTGTGGCATTGATGTAGCCATCCACAGCAGGGACCTTCCGGCGCTGGAGCTCAAAAGCAAAATGCTGGTTCAGCCGGATACAAAGGAGTAGACCTAGCGCATCGTAGGTTTCCCCGATCAGAGTCTTGGAAAGGGTTCTGCCGAGTTCAAAGGTAGCCTCAAAGACATAATTAAAGTTCTTTGAAATCTGACTATAGGACAGTGCGGGAGAGAAAAAGGTGGCCATGAAAGTGTATTCTGCCGTGGCATTGTCGATGAGTGCCAGGTTGAAGTTGCGGAAGGGTACTTCGAGGTAGTGAGTTGTTTGGTCTTCCTCGGCTAGATATGAGGAGAGTGCGGTTTGGTTGTTGGTCTTGAGAAGATCAATGCGTCGGCCAAGGTTAAATGCATCATGAGGAGGCCCTGGTGCCCGGTTGCTCGAAAGAACAGTAGCTTTGCGGGTTGCATCTTCGTGGCCAAGAGCGTCGTTCTTGTCTAATATGTGAAGCCTGATTTTCCCGAGGGCCTTCTCATACCGGGAAAACTGGTTAAGGTAGTACCACCGCATAGTGTTCATGTATGCGAGGGCGATCTCATTTGCGAGAGTCGGATGGTGTTTGTGTAGGAAGGTGTAAAGATCCTTGTATCGGAGGAAACTTTGTTGTTGAATAATTTGCGCATTGATATGCGGTGATCGCAGTGCTTTGATCTGAGCCACGATGAAGTCTCGGATGCGCTCAATTGCCTGGGAGGGTTAGTTCAGGTCCCAACAGGAGCAGAGCGCGCGTACCTTGAAAGTGAGCTTCTCGAGAATCGGTTCGAGATCCTTTGCCGCGTTACTAGTTTGAGTTTCGGACTTCTTCTTGAACAGGGTCGATCTGCGATCCAGTTCAGCGAGCATCTTGGCCCATGTCTCATCGATATGACCCTCAGAGATCTTGGAGATAACTTCAGGTGGTAAGCTTAGCTCCTCCACCAGAGGCCCCAGTGCCTTCTCAACTTGTTTCCGGTTTTCCAATCTCCTATTCAAGGCTGTCGACCGGGTTTGTAAAGATTCGATGTCTGCAGATACCATAGCAAGGTCGTTGCGGAAGTTGGCAAGGTTGATCTCAACTGAATTAAGGACATCGTCACATGCTTCTATCGATCGATGAAGATCTTCGAGTTTGGTTCTATCATTCTCGCCTGAAATATGTTAGTTGTGAGGCCAAACCGCAGCTATTGCATCAAACCGACTCTCTTCTGCCGTTTTTGGCTTACGAATGCTGGTTGTGGTTGTATCAGGAGGTTCCGACGTGGCAAGCTCCTTCAATGATAATCCTCCGAACTCAGCCTCGAAGTTGATATCATTCTGGCTTATGGCAGTTTTCTTGTCGGATTGGCCGTGGTCACTCGAAAAGCCGGCTAGCAATGTCTCTAGCACTTCCAAAGAATCAGGCCCCGTTTCGATTGTTGAGGCCTGCCTCAAGTTGGAACCGTTGAGCCTTCGCGAAGACGATAGGAGTGAGGAGGTGGAATCATTGGAAACGAGCGATAGCGAGGAGCCACGTGGAGAGATTCCAGGGCGCTGAGATGTGACATATGGGCTCAAGGTGCTCGAAGTTCTCTTAGGATATACTCTGCCACCGGGCTGAGGTGTGGAGGGTCCAGGACTGCTGGCCGGGCCTCCCGCCAGTCGGTCGAGCCACATGCCGACAGAAGGATGACAGGAGCAGAATTCGGTATGTAAAGATTAATCTGTGGATTCGGGAACCGTAGGCAATATCATGGTAATAGTCGTCAAAGTCGAAAGTGTTGGTGGATAGTGGTTATCAAGCTATTAGTGAAGCTGAGCTGGGCGCAAAAGGGTCAGCTTGGCCAGCTTGCAACGCGAGGCTGTTGACAGCCATAGAATTGAAGGTGCCAAGTGGGAGCTGATTGGACATATCAATCTGGGGGCACTTAAATTTCAGCCTTGTGTGGCTGTGTGGAGCTCTCTTCCATATCGGGAAACACAGAGGAGCTTGGCCAGTCGATATCCGGTGGGTTAAATGCAAACCCACTCGACCACATCGAAACTACAACCGCCATGGAAAGAAGCATAAGAGGATACGCAAGAAGGCTATAAAGACACAGTAGCCTGATGATTCATCTTTAATGTTAGCATGACTGAGGCACAGCCAAAGCATACAGTATATTCGGCTCCTAGGTCCCCAAGTTATTGAAACCGGAGTTCCTCCTCAAAAGGACATATTCTGGAGCTGGTCTTAGGATCAAAGCGCCACAAAGGAGCAAACAATGGAATAATAGACAAAGCTGCAGCTGCAGGTGGGTACTTATGGCTCGCATCGTACCTGCTAGTACACGGTAGGTAGAAATCGGTAGGCATGTCGTTGTCGTAGCGATATAAAATGTGATTGCTTTCATTGTGCGATCGATGTCCATCCATGCCATGCTCCATGCTTGCAAGAGTCACTTGCAGTTCAACAAGACCATTTTGCTGAGACACACAGGCCTTGGGAACCAATGGCCACCTCGGGTTTGAGAGGGGAACCTGGAAGCCAGCCCCCGAAACAAAAATACAGGATGGATTGCTCCCCGCGTCAGCAGTTGCATTTCAGCCATTGATTGAGTCCTAAGGTTAGCATCAATGCCCCCCTGCAGGCTTTGACACCTTGACGCCGTGATGACTTGATAACCTCCGTGTCAGGTTGCTTCTTCAAACGCCCAGAGGGTCCTCGTGACCTTCAGACCACCTTGCTTTGAGTTGCTTTGAGTTCTGTCCGTTGGCAGAGGCTGTAAGTTCAGTCTCAACTTGAATATTCGAGCCAGAATAAAAATAACTTCTGGCATGTGACTGGTCGGAGCAATGTATGTTTTCTCTGTCTTGGACCCCGCCGCTTCGAGCTTTTGCTGAGACGACTGATCGTCAAGGCGATAACCTAAAGCTGCCATCAATTAACACTTCTTGGTGGCTTCCCGCTCCACCCCGCTCAGTTTTGTGCAGCGGACAGATGCCCTCTGGGCCCTGTAAGCAATAACCCCTCCACTGGTACTTGTACGGTACTGGGAGAGGAGGGGTCGAGTAGGTAGCTAACAGGCGAGGGGCAAAGCCGAGGGTCCATCGAGATGGACTGGACCCCTCCCGGCCACTGGAAAGAAGGACAAAGGCTAAGCTCCTTGGGTACTCTCAGGCTTCACGAAAGCCAAAAACTGCCTGGGCCCTTATTAATTTCTACCTACTAACCCATGGACCTTATCCACCGGTAGCGTCCACCCACCCACAGGACCTAGGTAGGTAAGGTAAGTAAGTAAAAATCACAGCCTGAAAAACAGTGTCCACTGCTACGCCCACTTACACCAATCAAAGACTTTAGAAAAAAACTTGTCGAGGGCCTCGCACCTTTTTCTTTGCCCCCTCCATCTCTTTTTCCGAGTTTGGCCCTTTCCTCCTTCTTCTCTTCTCCATCCCACTATTAAGCACCACTCTCAGCTTTTTTTCTTCTCTCCTCCTCAACCTCACTCCTTTCTCCTCAAAGACCTCGACTTCTTGTCAATACCGTCAAAATGGCCGCCCCTAACGATGCTGAGGTGAGTTTACCTGCTTCTGCTTCTGCTGCTGCCTCTGTCGAGTCCCAAGCGCACGCGCCCACGAAATCTGCCCTTGCGCCCATTTTTCGCCTGGAGATTGACACCCCGCATTGTGACCTATGCCCCACGATACAATACTGCCATTAATTATTGAATCGAGCTTCACAACCCGTTAAAAAACCATCACCATTGCATTGTGTTCATATTGATCAAGAATTTTGCTAATTGTTCCTTTTCTTCCTGGTACAGCATGAGATGACCTTCGACTCGGCCGATGCCGGTGCCTCTCTTACCTACCCTATGCAGTGCTCTGCTCTGCGTAAGAACGGTTTCGTCGTGATCAAGAACCGCCCTTGCAAGATCGTCGACATGTCCACCTCCAAGACCGGAAAGCACGGTCACGCCAAGGTCCATCTCGTCGCTACCGACATCTTCACTGGCAAGAAGTACGAGGATCTTTCTCCCTCTACTCACAACATGGACGTCCCCAACGTCTCTCGTCGCGAGTACCAGCTGGTGTGTGAACCCTGCCCCGCTCCACAGAGGAACAACCCCTCTCTTCAGAAGAGCATACCCCGGCCATTTCCGCCACCAGCTCAACTAACATGTATTCAAGCTCGACATCTCCGACGACGGTTTCCTCTCTCTCATGACCGATGACGGTGACACCAAGGACGATGTCCCTCTTCCCGACAACGAGGTTGGACAGAAGATCACCAAGCTCTTCAAGGAGGAGGAGAAGGACACCAGTAAGTTGCTCTAGTGGTCTTTTTTCAAGGAAATTGCCTAATCATGCCTCTCAGACGTTATCGTTCTCACCTCCATGGGCGAGGAGTGCGCCATGGAAGCCAAGGAGGCCCCCAACCAGGGTTAAATCGCCTAACCTTTGATCCGCACCCTCTTTTAAATGGCACTTGGCCCCTGAGCTCCGCATTGAAAAATGATCTGGACTGGGGATTTTTGTTTTGATGAATATTTGGCGCATCAATACTCATGGGCCATGAATTGGGCATTGCGCAGAAGGACTCTATCTGGACAGGATTGCCCGCCGGTTATGATATACGGCAATTCTTAGCACTCGAGCCTCGGGCTCAAAAAATGTTTTCCTTTGTTCCTAGCTCACACGCTGCACATGCCATCATGTCACGATACGTAGCGGCAATTTTATGAAGAAAAAAATGGGAGAGCTTTGGAGTTGATCATAACTTGTTGGATATTGAGTGACGTGAATTTCGTGAAGTCATTGGAGACACCATGGTGACATTTGCTAAATACGGCGTGCTTTTCGTAGGACGAGATAGCATATATATTCTGGAGACGAACATATGCTTGGACCTACAGTACAAACCTGCATTTATTGTTACACAATCCAAGCAAGGCAATATGGTGAGGTAAAATAAAATATAGCTAAATCGAAATGTTTGTACAGCTGTAATTGTGTATACAATGCTACATGATTTTGCTCGCTATAGAGTGTACACCAGGATCCTAGATATATATTCTTTTTTTTTTTTTTTTTTTAGCTTTGACCACTTTTTTTTGCCAGTCGCAAACCCATGACAACAAAGCTCGACAAGCCAGCAGCAAAGAAAACAACGAAAGCACATGAGGAATGCTATAGTCAGCGAAAATCATGGATGAGAGGCGAGACCTTCGCAAGTTTCCCCGTGGGGAGAGATGTCCAGAATGTGGTGCTCGAAGATGGTATTTGGAGAATGGTCTGCGCTTCTGCTCCAACGGACATCAAGTTGAGGTGTGTCTTGCATTATACTCCCGAAAACCCTGGACTGACATTCATGGTAGGGATTTATTCAATTTGATATTGGTGATGATGTCGATGCGGGTCAGCTTGGTAAAAAGACAAAGAAAGACAAGGAGGTTAAAGAAAAAGAGTTGCGACATCTCACAGGGCAAGCAGGCAAGAATCTCTTTCTCGAATGTCTGCAGCTGGTGTTGAGGCAACAGCTCCTTTGGCTCGTTCAGAGCAAAGGTCATCGAGAAGAGCTTGAGACTGTAGTGCGCGATCTGTGGGATCTTCGTATTCGAGGCTCCGGAGCGCTCCTGGCTGAGGAGGAAACACAGCAAACGCAAATGGGTGATGGCCTTGCGATATTCAGCTCGCAGCCTACGGGCACAGTTAAAGATGATACACCAAAGAAGCAGGGAACAAGAGCTCGTAGCTGGAATCCAGAGGACAACCCAGATTGGCCTGTGCCGAGAATGATTGATACCCTGGCCTTGTGCTATCTCGGATGCTTGTTGCTCAGGATACCCACCGCGATTGGGGAGCTTTGTGTCTGGGCCAATTCTGGACGAATACCTTATAAACGATCAGTAAGTCAACCTTTCGGAGTTTGGCTACCCAACTAATAGACGTCAGTACTACGATCTTCCCGAAGAAATGCAGGATCGATTACCATCTGCTTACACCAGGGCCCTCAAACTACCCCTGCGCTCATCTCTTAGGGGAATCGACCTGCACAATGCTGTGCTGGATCTCGCTCTCTCATATCATCACAACTATGGAATGATATTTCCCGCCATCAATGATACGCCAACTATTGTGCACTTTGTCAGGCAGCTCACTTTACCGGGTAAGGACTCTCAAGACGCTGACCTCTCTTGTATTAACTGTTTTAGTGGAAACACTCATCACAGCAAGAAGCATACTATCGGTTATGAAGTTCTCTTTTCAGTTACCCATTGAGCAGTCACGGCGCTTTCATATAGACTATCCCGAGATCTTGCTCATGTCCTCTATCGTGGTTGCAGCAAAGCTATGCTTTCCACTAGGACAACACGCCCCTTTTCTTCACGCCGCTAGCACAGAGCAGAGTATCAGGTTCGATTGGACAACATGGCACAAGGGTATCCAAGAATTACTAGAGGCATCTCAAACACTTGAGAAGGAGCCCAGCTTCGATCAAGTTACCGTTGACCAAGTTGCTTCAATGACGACCAAGGAGCTCGACCAGTACTTTGCTCATATTGCGAGCACGATCGACAGGAAGAGTGAGTTTATCCCAGCGCATCAACAACGACATTAACAGATTAAAGATGATTCGGAAATCGCCAGGTTCTTTCCATCAGAGAACGCACCTCCTCCAGAGGCTCCTCCACGAGAAAACACTGAACAAGACAATGACCACAAGATGCGGAGGATCCTTGGTCAAGCAATTACAGTAACAGGAGAAGAGGGGTCAGAACAACATGGGAAAACTCTAGCGGAACCAAGCTATGAAGGGTTCCGTTCTGTCGATGACCTAACAGAGACGGCGGAGGCGTTGTACAAAGCTGCTGGTAAGTTATCATGCCTTGATCATGGAATATTTCGAGCTGATCAGTCGTCAAGGTCACATATCAGGCCTGTCGCTTGATGAAACAGTGCAAGCAGTGTACATGTTAGAGCAGAAGATGATCTCTTGGCAATTGGAGAGGCGCAAAGAAGAAGATGAAGTTATGTGACCATATCTAAATCAATAACATGATCGATAAATGATACCATATTATGACTTACATCTAAGCTTGTAAACCAGGGGGCATGATATCATGGGTGCTGGATCCACTCCCCCCCTCCTCACAGAATTGTCCGAAATCTGGTGTGCAGGAGCCAGCACGTGACCATCTCCAACCTTAGGGCTTTCCTTCCCTTCGTTTGAACTTGTTCGCCCCACCAATATTGCGCGCAGAAAGAAGCCCGGCTTTCCATTCCTCACATCGTCACGTCACAAAAATCAGTAAAGAGTGAGTATACCCCTAACTATGGCCGCAAATAATCTCAATAGGCGTAAATACTGACTCTCTATGTAGTGCAGATGTAAGCTCGAGCCCGCCAATTCCGAAAATCGACAAAAACCGCCTCTTTCCACTGTGTACTAACAGAACCGTCCAGTTTCGTGAAGACCCTGACGGGCAAGACCATCACCCTCGAGGTCGAGTCCTCGGACACCATCGACAATGTCAAGTCCAAGATCCAGGACAAGGAGGGCATTCCCCCGGACCAACAGCGACTGATCTTCGCTGGTAAGCAGCTCGAAGATGGCCGAACTCTCTCCGACTACAACATCCAGAAGGTGCGTGGGATCCGAAATGCGGTTGCGCCCGCAGGAAAATGATCGGGAAATGTTGGGAACGTAAACTTACGCCTTGTACAGGAGTCCACCCTCCACCTCGTCCTCCGTCTCCGTGGTGGTATCATTGAGCCCTCGCTCAAGGCCCTTGCCTCCAAGTTCAACTGCGACAAGATGATCTGCCGCAAGTGCTACGTATGTCGAACCTGTCGTCCAGAACGCACCGGATTCTAACCAACATGAACAGGCTCGTCTCCCTCCCCGTGCCACCAACTGCCGCAAGCGCAAGTGTGGACACACCAACCAGCTCCGACCCAAGAAGAAGCTCAAATAAACGATTACTCCATGGATGTGGCGTCTGGGATTTGGCATTTTGGGGTCGATGGCAAGGACAGAGGAGAGCTTCTTTTCTTTTGTTCACACGAGGCTGGTTGTTTTTACATTAGCATGTGCAGCTCAGGCAATACATTCTAGATGATGCCCATATTGACGATGTGCCGTGCCGCAAGGTGTTCCGGCCAGACCCCTTCAAAAGAAATAAAAGCATTCACGCTTCGAAATGTTTTTGTGCATGGAAATGAGTGACTGGGTAATCTTGGGGATTGGAGAAAAGACCCAGCTGTGAGGCTTACGATAAACACATAGCTTACAGAGCCAGTGACAATTGATTCTCAAGTTACTTCTCTGTCGAATCCTGACATCTTTAAATCCAACGCTTCTCCAATTCAGTAAATCTCCCTTGCAATGGCTTACAGGGTTGTTCCATCAGCTCTTCAGATCCACTGATAATCATGCCTGAGCTCGATAAGACTAAAGCCGGCAACCATGAAGCGCCGGTTAATCCTCGGCCCTGGGCTTGACACGCTGCGCGTGCTCCTGAATTACGACAACTGCCAAACTGTCCCAATTAGAAGCTGACAGCGACCAGTAAGAGCACCTCAACTTTACTCTCCCTTGTGACTTTGTCACTGCTGTTTATTTCACCAAACACATCACCAACTACAAACGAGTCGTTCTTTATATCCTTTTAAAGCTATAACAAGATAAATACCTAGCTTTCACAATGTCTGGTTCCGGTTACGACGCCGTCGTCGACGTTGACGATGAGGTATGGCACGGCCCCTCTAGCTACTCTTTCAAGCTCTTAACTACGATGCTCAACATTTTTACACATTGTCTCTTTGACTAAACTGACATGACACTTAGGGCGACCTCGGACATACCGATCTCCAAGAAGACCTCGAGTTCCATACGTCCAACTTCAACGATACAAACCCCAACACCCGCAAGCCTCCCTCCGGCGGCAGCGGTCTTCCTCCACCAGCCACGGCCTCGAGCGGCTCTGGCTCATCCAAGCGCTTCCTCTGGAGCATGAACTTTTATGCGCAATTCTTCGATGTCGACACTTCAGCCGTTCTGTCACGTTGCTGGGCTGCTCTGTTTCCCAGGGCCAACTTCCTTGATGTTCTAGAGGGCAACCCTGATCTTTACGGACCGTTCTGGATCGCCACGACGGTTATTTTGATCCTCTTCCTGGGTGGCACTATCAGCCAGTATATGTCAGATACGGGCAAGGGACCATTCCTCTATGATTTCAAGTTGCTAAGCGGTATGTCTACTGTACTATTACCTAGGGGTCGCGCACTAACATGACAAACAGGCGCTGCTGGCCTTATCTATGGCTATACTCTGTTCATTCCCATGGCTCTCTTCCTCGCCCTCCGTTACTTCGGCAGCGAATCCGCCAACCTTCTCGAGTGCTGGGCTCTGTACGGCTACTCCAACCTGATCTGGGTCCCCGTTGCCCTCATCAGCTCGTCGCCTATCTCCATCCTCAACTGGGTCTTTGTCGGTGTTGGTTTCGGAATTTCGGTTGCATTCTTGTTGCGAAACCTTTACCCTGTACTTAGCGCCACAGATCGCCAGGTCAGCAAGGTCCTACTGGTCGTTGTGGTGCTGCTGCACGCTGGTCTGGCGCTTGCGATCAAAATCCTCTTCTTTGCTCACGGTAGCCCCGTGGCGAGCAAACCGGATGAGGGTAAGGGTAGTCGTATGTTTTAAGAGGTGGTAACAACAAATCGATTTGAACCATGAGATGGGATATAAGGAATTGAACGACACGTGTAAGAGAATGTGTATTCCTAGGCCTCAATTGCAGTTAGGTATAGTCAAAAGGAGTCTCTGGGTAAACAGATCTTTGGGAATTGTTTGTACAATAAGCTAGAAGGCGCTTTTATTTAACCAACATTCTGCCCTGTCTGCATTTCATCAAGCTCTGTCTGTTCAATATGGTTTCTTAACCTTCTCAACTGGTCCTTTCTGAGCTTCCCAGTCTAGCCAGCTACCCGCATAGTCGCCGATCTTCTGCCAACCAGCATGTTGAGCCAATTGCGCAGCCGCTCTTGCACGCACTCCTGCTTTGCAATAAAATACAAGCTCTTGGTTCTTTGCCGGTCTCTCGAAGCCGTACATGTCCTCAAAATCCTCGTCGGAGATGTGGAAGCTCTGGGCTGCCGATGTGATGGGAATATTGATCGCGCCGGGGATCTTGCCCGTCTCGAAAAGCTCGCTCGGTTCTCGGACGTCTGTTGCGCTTGTTAACTCAATTTCCTAACATGCTTAGAGGTGAACATACCGACAAGGACTACATTGCCCTGGTCGAATTTCTCAACATGTTTCTTTACATCTTCAAAGGTCCACGGCTTGGGGTCCGGAGGGCCAAGGTCGGCTGTCGGTTTTGCTTTGGCTTTGGTTTTGGTTTTGGCAGCGTAGCTTCTAGTAGAGGCAAAGGGCGCAAAAGCTAGGGATGGTAGCGAGGGGCTTGCCAAGCGAGCTGCAATTATAAAGATTGGTCGGGCGGGTTGGATAGCAGCTGATGCGCGCGAAGCCGAAGAGAAGAGAGCGCGACGGGATGCCATTTTGGAGTATTATAGAGAGGGTTACGACCTGGACGATATCGAGGTGGGAAGTACGAATTGAGGTTCAAGATGGCGAATCGTGGACTATACCGAGCTAAGGCGACTGACTAAGAAGCTGGGGCCGGGGTGATCAAATGAATGCCATGATGATACAGGAGGAATAGTGGATAGACACTTCGTAATCAACTGTAATAAATTCAACAGCTACTCTAATACAAACAAGCCGCGGCATTATTATTCAAGTCTTCGAAGTGATGGCTATTACGTACAAACCGAGTTAAGCACACCGGTGAAGAGTACTACATATAGGATGGTCATCATGAATCCTTAATGCTGACCTAAGTGGAAGCCATAATCAAGTCACTTCACTCAACTCAGTGATCTGATGTGTTTTTGAAATCCTTTGCTATTCGCTGTCCAAATGCCATTTCCCAATCATGGCAATCATCTCTATGACCTTGCGGTCCCAAATGCCCTCGGGCAGCCAACTATATACACCGAGAATAGGTATTAAAACTGATATCCATCATGATTGTTCTTTTCGTCCACATTGAGCTGTTTCTCGGCTCCTCAAGCTTCATCTCCCGAGAGTTTTCCTGTAGCTAATGAAATGCCAACAGTCGATCTCTCATTTTATTTTCATTGGAAGCTTGAACCTTTCATAGCCATCTTCCTCAATCATTCTTCTGGCTTCCCTCATCAGATACACTTGGGCTGCATACACGCTGCCATCGTTGCATCAGGGACACCGGAATCGTGGTCGAACGGTCCGTATTGATTTTAGTGTCGATCAAATTCTTGCGTACCGTTTACCACTTCCTCTCCTCGAAGGTAAGAGGGCAGTCATCCTGTTTCAAAGTCAGTCGTTGTTGCATTGTATTGTCCAGTGACGAGTACATACCATGGGGAAGATGGTGGCAAAGACCTTGATCTCCTCAGACTTAGGGGTGGCATGGTGCTTCCAGTCAAGCATGACTGAAGCCTTTCCGATCATGAGAGCCAGGTTCAGCTGAGCGTACACCTGTCCAAGGCAGTAGTGAGGTCCGGTACCAAAAACCAAGTAGTTCTTGGAACCCTTCTCCTCAGCATCGCCGCTGTAGTATCGTTCGGGGTCGAAGTGGCTGGGATTATCGTAGACCTCAGGGTCGTGGAGAGCCATGAAAGTGGTGGGAATCAACATTGAGCCTATGAGAGGGTTGGAATCAGTTTCACGATCAACAAAATGCAATTGGGGCGCTTCTTAACTTACCCTTGGGGACGGTGTAGTTCTCGGTCAAGGGGAAGGCCTTCTTGGTGACGTAGGGAACCATGATGACGGGAGGGCGCCATCGGAGAAGCTCTCGGACAACAGCGCGAGTGTAAGTAAGAGATTCGAGCTGATCCATGGTGACAGGTGCGTTGGGGTCACCGTTGCGAACCTTGATGTTCTCCTCTCGGACACGGTCGAGGACATCGGGTCGCTGGGCGGTAACCTGGAAGAGCCAAGTAGCGGCGCTGCTGGTAGCATCCTGGGAAGCGAAGAGGAAGGTGAAGATAGTCTGGGAGATCTCGTAATCGTTGAACATGCGGAGAAGAGGAGTGGGCTTCTCAACGGTGTGTCCCTCGCCCTTCTCCTCGGCCTCACGCCAGCGTTCAGACTGGATCATTGACAGAACCCAGGCATCCATGATGCAGGTGACTTCACCACCAGCGGCCATGCGAACCTTGCTCTTGGCGGCGCACTTGGAGAACTCGGCGAGAACCATATCAGCGGCCTTCTTGCCATACCAAGACTTGGTATATGGAAGGATAACGGGGAGGTTGACAAGCTCGAGAGCAGCAGTGATGAGGTAGTAATCCTCGGCGATCTTGGTGACAGCCTCGTCGGAGATGTAGTGACCGACAAAGGTACGGCAAGAGACAGCACACATGACCTCGCGGAACTCGTGCATGAACGGGACAGGCTTGCCGCCGGCATCCTTAGTCATCTTGAGGAAATGCTTGAAGTAAGTGTTGTAAGCCTCCTCCTGACCAGGCAGATAGCTCTCAAGGGCCTTGCGGGTGAAGAGACCGTTGAGACCCTTGCGGAAATCAACATGGGCCTTTCCGTCGAGGAAAACCCAGTTGTCGTGTCCAAGAAGCTTAGGGGCAACATCGACAACAGTGGGCTTGACATAGGCGGGTGAGTTGAAAACCTTGCGAGCCATATCACGAGTGGAAGCAATAACGACGAACCTAGCAATTTTCATGTTAGTATGGCTGTTTCGCCATGTTGGATTGCTCGTTCGGAACTTACTTGTGGAAGATAGAAACACAGCTCAGGGGACCGCTGCTCCACTTGGCATGATAACCGTCGAACCGAGGATCCATGGAGTCGAGGAATGGGCCGATGAAGGGAAGCTTCATGGCCGGTCCCTCAATCGGGCCCTTCCTGATGATGTAGGCAACTGTTTAGGAGCTTTGGTTAGCAATGCGCCTCGGACTACCTGGTAGCGGAAAACATACTCTGATCATAGGCAACGCAAAGAGCGATGAAAGTGATCACCCAAGTCCAGACGCCGGCGTTAGAAACAGCTTCGATAACATATTCGACCTGAGGAGGAAGAGCGACATTGGCGTATTTGGTGCCGGCCAGAACGGACGAGAAGCCGCTGGAGGTAGCGTTGACGGCCTCCATTTTGTTGAGTGCGGTGATAATGCGACGGTAACGAATCGAATCAGTCCAGTCGTTGGGATGAACCGCGTCGCAAGTCGAGTTCGAACTCGCAATCAAGCGAGAATGTTGTGTCCGGCTGTTGAGTTTCTCACAACCAGTGGTACTCCTTGCGACTAAGGAGGAGTATGAGGATGAAGGAGAGGAAAGGGATAGAGACGGGAGGTAGGGGAGAGGAGGAAGTAAAGTAGGAGAAGTGGAGGTTGTGTTTCTTTCCAGATACAGGAGGTACCTTCCCAAGGTTAGTAATTGTCCAGTCCTCTGCGCCGTTGGCTGTGGAAGGTGCAGGCGCCTCCCGTCCGTCTACAGAATCCGTTCCGCGTATGTCAGTCAATCAATGAAATCAGTGCTTGGCCTGTCATTTACAGGGAACGGGAAGAGAGAAAAAATAAAAAGAGGGCCCCGGGGTCTCAAGGTCAAGGTACGAACAGTACAAGGGCAAGGGACAGGGTGTGAACGATTAACGGGAGCGAATTCGCTAAGGGCGGAGAATTATAGAGATGAGAAAGTGAAAGATACACTGCTCAGTCATCTCTACATTGAATAAGCCAATGGCTGGTTGGAATGTTGGTATTTATTTTCTGAATATGATAAACTGTTTGTTGTTCCTATTGCAAGCTTTGCTGTGGCTTTTTGTCCCAAAGAGATGTTGTTGACCAGGGCGTGGGAGGAGAGACAGATTAGATGCGAGGTGGAGTTGCAGCGTGGTTGACTTGTTGGTGGGGGGTCGGCGGTACGCCACACGTCTAAAGATACGCCCTTCCAATTAACACAGCCTAGGACACTGCAACAACGAACGTGTTCTTCGATTACCTATTAAAAGTATCACTTCGTAGGTAAGCATAGATCAACTATTCATTAATTGGACCTTTTCAGATCTGCATATCAAGATGAAGAGTGACAACAAAAAGATTGCGCGTTTCCATGACAATTTCCCATTCTTTTTTTCACTGGGCCTTCATATTAAATTCCTTTTTACCTGGTGCTAATTTCAGCTCTTCGGACTCGAAATCTTCACCAAGAAGCTGCCCATCGTAGTTTAGTCTCCGAACCTCGAGCCCGACAATCCCGTAAAGGGTCTATGTTGGCCTGTCGCATTTGCTTTCTGGAACTGGAACTGGAAAAGCAGACCACTTTCTTTGCATTTCGTTGTATTCGTGTAGGTATCTTCATTTACCCGGAGTGATAACTTGATTGATTTGTTACTTTGTTACTACGACCATCAGTTATCTCATCCTACCAGCTGCAATGCTGCTTGGTCTTGCAATAGACAACTCGTGACCTTTGGTTCACTTACACCATAACAAACACTAGGCCAACTATCACAATGTCTTGCTTGTTCACTTGTCCCCAGGGAGCAAGAAAACTTCAGACTCTAAAAGAGCTTGCCAAAATAAACTCATTAAAGAGGCCGCTAAAACTTAGACTAATTACTTCAATATTTTTGTCATTTAGGATTGAGGTCCTAAGTTGTATTGCTTCCCCTAGCTTGTCTCTGAAGCTCCACCGGCCTTGATCGTAATCGTATGTACGCAATAGACAGCCCTAGCAATTATAACGTTTACCGCCTTCGCCTTCTTCCGCGTCTTCCGTCGTAGATCTAAGCGGGCCCTAGCCTGATATTCGGGACAACACTACGGATACTCATCGTATGTTTCCTCTTCAGCCTCATTGTATACTTATTGCATGGTTGAATGTTGTGCCATTGAGCTGCTTGTTCGTTCGATACAGAGCTTTTGGCGAGTTTATCGGGGGCATCCGGTTTGCAATAGCCATCATGCGACTCGTCGTGTATGAGGTGTCAAATGCAAGTCTACTGCCTTTGACAGGGGCATCGAGCAAATCATACCTCGAAACTTTTGTCTGAGTTTCTGTCTACTTGGCAGTTTGTGTATCTCTGGAGTTGACAGCAGCCCAACTACGTAGTAGCTGCTCTTCATTACCACAGCTAAGTAGTATGAGGCTGGACACTATGGCTTCTGGTCTCCCAAACTCCCACGTTATCATCAACAGATCCTAGGGTCTCTACCTGGTGCGCCTGGGGAGGATCTTAACGTCAGCGTCGCTTAAACCCTACCCAGTAAGCCTATATCTACTGGGCTGGTAAGGTACAAAGCCAATGCCTGTCGATTCGCGTGGAAATCATAAATCAGCCATTGGATAGGTACATAATCACCATCACATATGTTCTTGTACGTGTGTATGGACGGAGTACCAGTTGTCATGACCGTTAACAATGAGCAACCTCGCTGTGAAATTCAGACAGCCCTGGGGTTACTCACACTCCCCACCCACTCTGATAGGTCATGACCCTATTGGCTCAGCTAACTAACAAGGCCAGGGACAAAACCAATCAACGGTCGCTGACAAAGTCTCCTCTCCAGGGTCCACCCCTAGCTCGATCGGCAGAGCTCCACATAGACGAACTGTTCACTATTGATACGACGTATTCGTTTACATGGAAATAACCGGATTTAGGCTTGTGTCGGTTTGCACTATTCTTTCGCAGATTGACGAATACATGGTTTGAAACCAGGCGATTGCATTCTATTGCCATATGGACAGTAGACGGGGTGTTACTGTCAAAGGAAAGCGTTTGGAAGGTTTGTAGGGGATTTAGTCACTCCTAAAAGGTGCGTCAGCAAGACACATTTCTTGTGTGGAATTCGTTTTCAATTACGAATATGATAATAGGTAGTCAGGAGTTGTCAACCACTTAGACTTGCTTCGCCAGGCCTCATTTCCTTTCACGTTGAGTCACCATACCCGAATACGAATGCGATACTGTTGGTCGCGGTGAAGTCGCCGTGCAGGACTGCAATTCTCTATCTAACACGGCAATCATCAGTTCCCCTCCTAGTGTCAACAGAGTTAATTTGCCCATAATTGAGTCTTATTACTAAAATTTCTGAGTGGGTTATGCTTAACAAAGTATCTTGCCCATGTGACTATTCTCCCATCATGAAAGCTCGAGAAGCCGAGCAGCTCGCTAGGCCTGCAGACAGATAAGCTTATCACAGGCTTATTTTGGTCCAGTTTTGCTTCCCTTATCTATCATCGACGTCACTCGCTTGAGAAGAGTTTCTGACAAGCGGGTTTCCGCTAGAGGTGGGGGATCGTCAGGATCATGAGGGGCATCATTCTATATTGCCTACCCTATATTCGGGCTTCAGAAAGATGAGGGAATAGGTATCCCTGCTTTAATAAAGATCCATGCAGTTTAGATCTAGGCTTTTGAAATTCTTGGTCTTTGAGCTTATAGTGATATTTCTTTGTTTCTTTATAGCCACACTTACAATCATTCGTAGGTCTATAAGTCGCTGAACATTTCCCCTCTCTTTTCATGTATCATCATGTCTAGACACAACCCTCAATGGATACAATTTCGAGCCTATTGACCCAAAGCGATGCTGTACATTACCGTATTGACGAGCATCGGCAGGAGCTTACACGGTCGGTCACTTGTAGTTCTTGATGCCTTTTAACTCTTTAGGCACGTCTTGGTGGAATTGAAGGACTTCTACCAAGGTTCGTGTCAATACTTGAGTTATGCGATGCACAACATTCTCATCAGTGCCACGTTTCACATCTCCACTGTTCATCCACCCAACCCTCTACAAAGGTTACTGGAGACTCCTGTCAAAAGAAACAGTCCTGAGATCTGGATAACAGGACCATCTGCTGTGCGTTATCCTTCTCCAACCACGTCATAGCTGTCAGAAATTTGCCGGCGTCACACAAGCTCCCCTAGATTGCGTCATGCCCATGAGGAGTGAGATCTGTGTTTATCCTATAACAGTCGAGAGCCACCATACAGCAGTCTCTCCACCAAGAGAGATACCGGAATGGGCAGCTGGAAAGGAGGGTGATTCATTGGTATCTAACAAGTTGTGAGAGTGGATTCTGTCGCACTTACACCACGTAGTCCCGCGTGTGCCTGCTTTTGAAACGCTGTAAACCAGGGCACTCTGCGTTGTAAAGGATGGGTCGTGGTCACGCTTCAGGCCGACTCATAACGGATATAAGTGGCAGCATCCGCAGCCATGTGAACTTAGAAGCTTCACATACAACCATCCTAAAAAAACAACACTTCCATCACTCAACCAAGCTCACAATGCCCTCCTACATCGTAAGCATCATCATCACCATTTACCGTATTTCACCATCAACTGACAATATCTCATAGGTCACCTGCAAGGACGACGCGTCCGACGAACAGGTCCAGTCGTACGTCCCAGCTCGAAAGAATACTCATTCATGTGAAGTTAACAGTTGATAGTGCCAAGCAGCACGCCATTGACCAGGGCGGCAAGATCACACACGAGTACAGTCTCATCAAGGGCTTTGCGTAAGTTAACCTCGTGTACATACGGAATTCTAGGATGATGGCTGACAAAGATCATAGTGTTCAGTACGATAACGACGCGATCCAAACACTTGAGAGCCACGAGCACGTCAAGGCAGTCGAGCCCGATGGCGAGATGAAGACCCAGTAATTGAATGGGATAGAAGTGATGCGTATGAAGAGGCCATCGATATCCATACATAGATTATCATAAGCTCTACTGCATCGGCGTCAGGGAATATAATCATTAAACTGTCTTCTATAGAAGTGCTTTGCATTGACCGTGGTCTTTCGAAGCACCCAAACTCTGGTATTTTAATGTAGAGCCCTCCTGTAGCAGTATGGTGGCCATCATCATGGCAACATTGGACCCAAGGCTTCTGACAATCTAGATACCATCCTTCTACGATATGATGCTTGGCGGGGGATTGACTCGGTGACGTATGCCCACCCGGCCGATAAGCACCATCACCCCGCAATTGTGAGCCGTGTGATAAGCGATAAGCCGGCCGCAAGCGCTTCAAGTGGCAGCTCTCAGCTCCACTTCAACCTTCCCCGGACCGTAAAGAGTCATCCGCCTCGGGGACAATTACCGGTCTCTGCTCAGCATCTACAGATCAGCCCTATACTTTCTCATATCAGCAACATTAACTCCAAGAGGAGTGCGAAAACAAGACTCAAGAAACACGCCATAATGCTGCAATGATTGCTTCTTCCACCAGATTAATAAGGCAGCGAGGACCTGCCGCCTCTGCTCTTCTCCGGTCTTGGTCCTGTTACACCTCACAACGATGCTTGTCTCAAT